ATTGTTTCCTTAATTTCTCTTTCTGATAGTTCAGTGTTAGTGTATAGAAATGCAACAGATTTCTGTGTATTAATTTTGTATCCTGAAGGGCTTCCCTGGTGGCACAGTGGTTAAGAATCCGCCTGCCGATGCAGGGGACATGGGTTCAAGCCCTGGTCCAGGAAGATCCCACATGCCATGGAGCAACTAAGCCTGTGTGCCACAACTACTGAGCCTGCGCTCTAGAGTGCATGAGCCACAACTACTGAGCCCGTGTGCCACAACTGCGGAAGCCCACGTGCCGAGAGCCCATGCTCCGCAACAAGAGAAGCCACCGCAATGAGAAGCCTGTGCACTGCAACAGAAGAGCAGCATCCACTCGCCACAACTAGAGAAAGCCTGCGCACAGCAACGAAAACCCAACACAGCCAAAAATAAATTTAAAAATTTTGTATCCTGCAACTTTACCGAATTCATTAATGAGCTCTAGTAGTTCTCTGGTAGCATCTTTAGGATTTTCTATGTATAGTATCATGTCATATATTGACTGACTTTTGAATGTTAAACCAACCTTGCATTCTTTTGATAAATCCCATTTGGTCTTGATTATATTATATATATGGATTCTGTTTGATAAGTTTTTAAGAATTTTTGCATTCACATTCATGAGGAATGTTGGGTATAGCTTTCTTTTCCCTTTTTAATAATGTGACTGTTTTTCTGTCACGTCAATGGGGTCATGCCCTTTGATTAAACTCGAATATAAAAGCTATTGGACTTCCCTGGCGGTCCAGTTGTTAAGACTCCATGTTTCCACTGCAGGAGGCACAGGTTCGATCCCTAGTCAGGGAAGATCCCATATGCCACACAGTGTGGCCACCCAAAAATAATAAATAAAATAAAAGCTATTAAATCTCTTATGTAGCTTGAGAAAATAATGTCAGGAATATATCTGAACAATGAAAGCTGTAAAATGCATTTGGTGTGTTTCTTGAGAAAGAAAAAATGAGAAAGCTGCACAAGAAAGTTTACATTTTCTTGCCAAGTGAAGTTTTCTAAATGTTGCATTTTCATTATTCTTCCAGATAGATTAAATATTCCAGAAGGGATGCAAAGAAAGGGAGAATTCCTTATTTTTTAAAAAAGAAAAAAGCAAGATAAAGTTCCTTCTTGTTAGTGGGAAAAGAATTCAAGGGGAGGGAAATGGTAGAGGGAAATAGACATGTGAAGATAGGCACACTTCATGAGGATTGCCTCCCCCCACGTTTTTTTTTTGTTTTTTTTTTTACGGTACGCGGGCCTCTCACTGTTGTGGCCTCTCCCGTTGCAGAGCACAGGCTCTGGACACGCAGGCTCAGCGGCCACGGCTCACGGGCCCAGCCACTCCACGGCACGCGGGATCCTCCCGGACCGGGGCACGAACCTGTGTCCCCTGCATCGGCAGGAGGACTCTCAACCACTGTGCCACCAGGGAAGCCCCCCCCCACCACGTTTTTAAATGGAGAAAGGGAAGAACATAAACTTCTATTGAACTTATATTGGGCTTATATTGAGCTTATATTGAGCTCTATGGGCTATGCACTATGGTAGTGCTTTTGCATATATCTTATATAATGGTTTTGGATGGGGAAGCCTTTTTGGAGGACAGAAGAATCCATCATGTTGCCTTCAGTACATTCCAAATTGCTCATGTGGGCAAAACTTTGAACATAAGATTATTTAATGTGCTTGATCCGGTCTTTAAATGAAAGGCACATTTTGAGACGCTGACTAACTGGTGTCCAGAAGAGGGTTCCTGGACAGTGAAAAGACCCAAATCCGAGTCATCTTAAGATGTATTCATGCCTCCCCTGAAAAAGAGAAAATTAACGGGGAGTGGGGGATTACACTCTTCAATAATCAAAGGGCTTTCTCTTTTTAGTTGGAAAAGGAAATAAACTTTTTGGTATATAGCTTCAGATGGCAGAAATAGGATCAAAGGTGGGAATTACAGAGAGTAGGACTTCAGCTCGACCACTGATCCAGGCTATCTGGAGGTGGGATACAGGTGCTTTGTAATGACCGGGTGTTCCAGATGGGTGATGATGGTTGGACATGCACCATCAGTGTGGGACACCGGGAAGAAGCAGAATTCCTGGGTCAAGTGGGAAAGAGAGCTAACAGTCTGATAGACAAGGTCTGTTTCCACTCGAAGAACCTATGAATCAGCTGTGTCTGCCTACTCTCTCCACACAGGCAGGGTTGGAATAGAAAATGGTGGGTATTGTGTGTGTGTGTGTGTGTGTGTGTGTGTGTGTGTGTGTGTGTGTGTGTGTGTGTGTGTGTGTGAAGGCCATCGCCTAAGAGTCCCTCTCACAATCATCCTGTACAATGACAGTATCTCAGGAGTTGGTAGTTAACTTGGGGGAACGACAGTCACTTGAATGTTAGTCCCGGTGAATTAGTTCTGAGTCTCCCCTGGGAACAGTGAGCCTTTGAACCCGCCTGTCCTCGTGGGCTTGGAGGCAGGGCTGCCTTCCACCTCAAGGATCATGGGACCGTATCAAATGGTGAGTAAAAGCTGGGCCCGTGCAGTCACACATAATAGGATCTGGGTTCTGGTTTGGTCTCATTATTAGCCACAGGACCTTGAGTAAATCGTCTAACCTTTTTCGGTGCCTTATTTTCCTTGCCTGTAAAATGAGAACGCTAAACCTACCTGAAGAGCTCAGTGTCAGAGTTAATGAGATGATGAGTATGAAGCACTCAGGAGAGCTCCTGGCACATGGTAAACACTTATTGAGTGGCTACAGTTGGGCCAGACGTCCTGTGCAGCACACTGATCTGGGCAGGGGCCGCAATCACTTTGGACCGTAACTACCTTGGCTGTTTATTCAATTTACTTCCATGCAAGAATGTAGCTCCAAGAGAGCAGAAACACGGCTGTTTTATTCACTCTTTGATTTCTAGTCATTTGTACGGGGCCTGGAACACCTTAAAGGTTCAAAACTGGAAATAGCTGTGTCTCATTCCCCTCCAGGCCCAGTGAGTCTCTCTCCACGTCGGCAGGGACAGGCCCCCAAGAGCGGCTCAGAACAGCCTCCCCTTGGCACAGTTTTGCACTGTTCACTAGACCAAGATCACGGCTCAGTAGCTGTGGCACACAGGCTCAGTAGCTGTGGCGCACGGGCTTAGTTGCTCCGCGGCATGTGGGATCTTCCCAGACCAGGGCTCGAACCCATGTCCCCTGCATTGGCAGGAGGATTCTTAACCACTGCACCACCAGGGAAGTCCCTTGGGTGACTCTTAATTACTGAAGCTTGAGAACCACTGCCTGGGTTCAGGCCCCTCTGACCGGGGCCTCCTTGCTCCTCCACCCAAATCAGTCTGTCTGAATCCAGGCAGTTTCTGCATCATGCTCTTTGCACCTACAGCCCTAGAACAGCAGGGAGCCAAGGCCAGACCAACACTTGGGAGAGCCTGGGGCCTCAGGACCTGAGGTGGGACCAGGCGGGGGCTGGCAAACCTGCTGTGTGGGGAAGGCCCAGCTCATGACATCCAACTTTTTATTTTTTAGTTGCTGGTCTCGAAATTCCTCTGGATTGACTAAGCCAGACCATGGAAAGTGGACATCGGCAGATGCCCGGATCCCAGCGGATCACCGGGGCAGGCCGCAAGAACTTTTTGCGCTCCGGAGAAGGGAAGGGCAGGATGGGAGTTAGCAAGGTGGAGGGAGGCTGAGTGCTCTGCAGAGGATGGGGCACATCTAAGAAGATGTTTAGGTTGTTTGCTGAGCGGTATGTGAGGCAACCTTGCCTGGGCTCCCCCAGCCCTCCGGTAAATTCTATTAAACCCATGAGCATGTGGTACGAGTGATTTTCGTAGGGGAAACTGAAGAACGGTCAGAGGTTCAAGCGGAAGGGCCAGGACGACTCAGGCTCCAACAAACAAACAATCTGGCATCCTGGAGGAGCCAGAGAACACAGGGTCCCCCAGGACCTACATAGCCTGAGGGCTTCGGGCCTCTACAGGCCACAGAACCGGAGAAGTCGAGCAGATGTTCCTTAGTCTTGGGGGTCAGGGGGCCCCTAGCCAACCACTCTCAACCCAAAGTGAGAAGACAAAAGGAAAGTGTGGTTTGGCTCTATAAACGGGATACTAATTACAGCCATTTGTGCAAACTGTTTTCCATTAGTGCTTAATTGCTTACCACGCGGTATAATAACAATTACGCATTGCACAACCTACATGTCGGACTAGCTGAGTTTTATTTGCCTCCATGTGGGCCAGTCTTCCTCATGTCTTGAGGAAGTCCGGTTGTCTGTGGGCTAACACAGTGGCTTTATTTATAACTTGAAAAAAAATTATAGGCACAACACTCAGTGTATGGGTAATTCTCTCCTCTAAGAGGCGGATTACCTCATGTGCTTCAAATGTCAGTATGTTGTCTAGTTTTGGGGCTTGGTCAAAAAAAGAGAATGTGCATTCTATTACACTTTATATCTGTTTGTCCTTTTCTATTTAGGAGACCTATAAAGCATCCCTCACCAAAGCAATGAGGTCCCCACACACCTCTAAAACAGACCTCGAATAATCATTCCCAGCCAATGTTAGTAGCTCATCCTAAATCCACGCTTCAGGGAAGAGAATAAAATACAGAAACAATTCCTCAAGGCACAGTCAATAGAGACAGCGGATGAAAAGGCTCTTCAGCGGTTGCCCCCTAAAGAACAGCTTGGAAGTAAAGGACAGCAGCTCACGGATTCAAGGAGGCTATTTCTGAGAAGGGGCCTCCAACGACCTTCCAAACTCTTCCTGATGGCCTACTGTGTGCCTGGCTCTGGCCTCAGCACTGTGAAGGCAGAGTAGGGGCCAGGGGTCAACACAAAATACACGAGTTACAAAACCTCGTTTCTGTCCTTAGGGAAATGATGACTTGGTTGAGGGAGGGGCCACAGATGAATTAAATGGGCCCAGATAAAAGAGGAGAGAGTGGGAGAGCAGAGGAGGACAGAACAAATATAACAGCAAAGCAATCTTACTTCTGCAAGTCGTCTGATCCGAGTTGAGGATGTAGCCTTGTTTGCACCTGCAGACATACGAGCCAGGAGTATTGATGCAGAAGTGGGCACAGTTATGCTCCAGGATGCTGCACATGTGGACGGCTGAAAGGGAAGATACGGCAAGTTAAGGCAACGATGATGCCTTCTCTAACTTCATCCCCCTCGCAAACATTCATCCAGAATCTACGCTGTGAAGGAACAAGCAGGACTCAAAGAGAAACAAGCTGCAGTCCCTACCCTCAAGGGGTAGCCTCTGGTAGGACCAGACAGTTCTACATAAATGCCATCAGCAATATATACATAGAGGGCCGCAGAGGGTCAAAGGGAAATGATGTTAGGCTGAGCCACATGAGATTGCTGATATCCAACTAAAAACAGGTCAAAAACGACCTACAAAAACAGAAATTTCACAGTGCAATTCATAATATCCAGTTGGTGGGCAGAGGGATCAGAAAGTTTGCTGATACCAGAGGTGGCTCTGACTAACGTGTGGACTTGGTAGGCAGCAGCGGGTTTGGAGGAAAAGCTATTAGTTAAATGAGGATGTGGTAAAGAATCAACAGTGTCTCAGGATCATAAATCCCGAGAGTGATGTAATTTTTTCATAGGCAAAAGTATTATAAAAATTTTTGGAGTTAAAAAATGCACTCATATGTTTCCATAATCTTTATGTCTCAATTTAAAATATTTCTGGACGGACCTAGAGTCTGTCATACAGAGTGAAGTAAGTCAGAAAGAGGAAAACAAATACCGTATGCTAACACGTATATATGGAATCTAAAAAAATAAAATAAAAAAGGTTCTGAAGAACCTAGGGGCAGGACAGGAATAAAGACACAGATATAGAGAATGGACTTGAGGATACGGGGAGGGGGGAAGGATAAGCTGGGATGAAGTGAGAGAGTGGCATGCACATATATACACTACCAAATGTAAAACAGATAGCTAGTGGGAAGCAGCCACATAGCACAGGGAGATCAGCTCGGTGCTTTGTGACCACCTAGAGGGGTGGGATAGGGAGGGTGGGAAGGAGACGCAAGAGGGAGGCGATATGGGGATATATGTATATGTATAGCTGATTCACTTTGTCATAACGCAGAAACTAACACAACATTGTAAAGCAATTATACTCCAATAAAGATGTTAAAAAAAAAATTTCTGGGACTTCCCTGGTGGTCCAGTGTTAAAGAATCCACCTTACAATGCAGAGGACGCGGGTTCGATCCCTGGTCAGGGAACTAAGATCCCACATGCAGCAGGACAACTAGAGCCCACGTGCCACAAACTACAAAGGCCACGCGCCCTGGAACCTGCGCACCACAACTAGAGAAGAGAAAACCTGCACACCACAACTAGAGAGAAGTCTGCTCACCACAACGAAAGATCCTGCATGCCTCAACGAAAATCCTGAGTGCTGCAACTAAGACCCGGCGCAGCGAAAAATAAGTTAAATTTTAAAAATAATAATAATGGGGACTTCCCTGGTGGCGCAGTGGTTAAGAATCCACCTGCCAATGCAGGGGACATGGGTTCGAGCCCTGGTCCGGGAAGATCCCACATGCCGCGGAGCAACTAAGTCTGTGCGTCACAACTACTGAGCCCACGTGCCACAACTACTGAAGCCCGTGCGCCTAGAGCCCGTGCTCTGCAACAAGAGCAGCCACCGCAATGAGAAGCCCATGTACTGCAACGAAGAGTAGCCCCCACTCGCCACAACTAGAGAAAGCCCGCGCGCAGCAACGAAGACCCACTACAGCCAAAAATAATAATAATAATAAATTAATTAATTAAAATAAATAAAATATTTCTGCGTTTAGTTTCTGAAGTACCTCGGCTTTCAAATACATTGATTCTTGCATAAGTCTGTTGGAGCTCATGGAAATTCTTATTGTTTTTTACATCTTAATTTATGACTTTACTCCATATAATTCAACCTGAACATATTTAAAATTAACAAGCATCAGCATAAGCAGAGTACAATTTATGCAAGTGTTGTCATAAACAAAAAGGATGTACATATGTAGAAATATATTTTTATAAAGCTAAAACAGAAGAGACTTTCAATAGCTAAGGACAATCCCCTCACTCCAGTGCTTAGGAAAACTCAGCTACTGATGAAATCGATGGCATATCTTATATGTCCCTTTACTTCAAAGTAAGAAACATGGTGGGCAGTAAGTGAAAGTAAGACCTCTTTATTTCATAATACAATTTAGAATGATCGTTCTGAGTTTACGATTGACTGTGTTTTAATTCCTGTTAGGATACAAATAATGTTAGGAAAGTTCATAGATTAAATCCAATCAGTCATTGTTACTTCAGAGTGAAAGAAATATCTGTTTTTGTGACCATGGGCTTAACTTCTTTATATTAAATGGGAGTAAAAATAGTACCAACCTCATAAGGGCCTTGTAAGGGTTAAAATAATTAAGATGGTAAAGTGCTTAAAACATAGCTCAGGGGAATGCTTGATATGTGTTAACTGTATGGTACAAAGGAGAAGCATGGCGGACTTTTGTTTTATTTTACATACCTGGATTCATCCTATATATATTCATCGTCACCTTGGTTTTTCACTCAGCATTAATAATTCTATCTCTATTGATATATACTATCTTTCATGGAATTTTGTTTTATTTTACATACCTGGATTCATCCTATATATATTCATCGTCACCTTGGTTTTTCACTCAGCATTAATAATTCTATCTCTATTGATATATACTATCTTTCATGGAATCTAAGATGCACCCGATTTCAGAGATGTTAAAGTGTGAGGACACATACATTGATCCTCATTATTCACAGATTCCATATTTGAGAATTTGCCTACTTGCAAACATTTATTTGTAACCCTAAAATCAATACTCAGAGTGCTTTCATCATCATTTGTGGACACACTCAGAGCGATGAAAAATTTAGGTGGCCAGCTGAGGTTGAACAAGATGATGCTCTGCATTCTTGTTTCTGCTCTCAGACTGTGAATGAGTATCCTTTTCAAGTGCCACACTGTTTGCATTTTTGTGCTTTTTGTTGATGATTTGGCTGTTTAAAATGGCCCCAAGCGTGGTGCTGAAGTGTTGGTGTTTGCTGAAGTGAAGTGTGTCTGGTGTTCGTAAGTGCAAGGAGGCTATGATGTGCCTTATGGAGAAAATGTGTGTTTGATAAATTTCCTTCGGGCAAGAGTGATAGTGCCGTTGGCTGTGAATTTAATGTTAAGGAATCAACAATATATAAAGAAGGTGTCTTTACACAGAAACACACATAAAACAAGATTATGTATCGATCAGTTGACAACAGTGTCAGACCAGAGGCTCCGAGGAACCTAACTCTGTATTTCCCCTAGGAGCTGTGGTTCAGTACTTGCTACTTTAGTCAGTGTTCACCATGACGTTATAGGACATAATTACCAAGAACAATGAGAATCAACTGTACACCTTAGCTTTGATCAAATACATTTGATCTAGTTCATTCCTTTTAATTGCTTTATCCATTGGTCATATGACTAGTCCTCATTATATTCAGCCATTTCCCCACCAGTCCACAGTTTTTCTTTCCCAATGCTGTGATGAACCTTCTTAAATACATCTCCTTGAGCACATGTGCAGTTGTTTCTCTAGGACCGGGTCCTACTTTTTTTTTTTTTTGGCTGCTTTGGGTCTTCGTTGCTGCGTGCAGGCTTTCTCTAGTTGTGGCAAGCTGAGTCTACCCTGCGTTGCGGTGCACGGGCTTCTCATTGCGGTGGCTTCTCTTGTTGCGGAGCACAGGCTCTAGGCACGCAGGCTTCAGTAGTTGCAGCACGTGGGCTCAGCGGTTGTGGTGCACGGGCTTAGTTGCCCTGCGGCATGTGGGATGTTCCCAGACCAGGCTCGACCCCATGTCCCCTGCATTGGCAGGCAGATTCTTTTTTTTTTCTTTTTGGCGGTACGCGGGCCTCTCCCGTTGCGGAGCACAGGCTCTAGGCACGCAGGCTTCAGTAGTTGCAGCACGTGGGCTCAGCGGTTGTGGTGCACGGGCTTAGTTGCCCTGCGGCATGTGGGATGTTCCCAGACCAGGCTCGACCCCATGTCCCCTGCATTGGCAGGCAGATTCTTTTTTTTTTCTTTTTGGCGGTACGCGGGCCTCTCCCGTTGCGGAGCACAGGCTCTAGGCACGCAGGCTTCAGTAGTTGCAGCACGTGGGCTCAGCGGTTGTGGTGCACGGGCTTAGTTGCCCTGCGGCATGTGGGATGTTCCCAGACCAGGCTCGACCCCATGTCCCCTGCATTGGCAGGCAGATTCTTTTTTTTTTCTTTTTGGCGGTACGCGGGCCTCTCCCGTTGCGGAGCACAGGCTCTAGGCACGCAGGCTTCAGTAGTTGCAGCACGTGGGCTCAGCGGTTGTGGTGCACGGGCTTAGTTGCCCTGCGGCATGTGGGATGTTCCCAGACCAGGCTCGACCCCATGTCCCCTGCATTGGCAGGCAGATTCTTTTTTTTTTCTTTTTGGCGGTACGCGGGCCTCTCCCGTTGCGGAGCACAGGCTCTAGGCACGCAGGCTTCAGTAGTTGCAGCACGTGGGCTCAGCGGTTGTGGTGCACGGGCTTAGTTGCCCTGCGGCATGTGGGATGTTCCCAGACCAGGCTCGACCCCATGTCCCCTGCATTGGCAGGCAGATTCTTTTTTTTTTCTTTTTGGCGGTACGCGGGCCTCTCCCGTTGCGGAGCACAGGCTCTAGGCACGCAGGCTTCAGTAGTTGCAGCACGTGGGCTCAGCGGTTGTGGTGCACGGGCTTAGTTGCCCTGCGGCATGTGGGATGTTCCCAGACCAGGCTCGACCCCATGTCCCCTGCATTGGCAGGCAGATTCTTTTTTTTTTCTTTTTGGCGGTACGCGGGCCTCTCCCGTTGCGGAGCACAGGCTCTAGGCACGCAGGCTTCAGTAGTTGCAGCACGTGGGCTCAGCGGTTGTGGTGCACGGGCTTAGTTGCCCTGCGGCATGTGGGATGTTCCCAGACCAGGCTCGACCCCATGTCCCCTGCATTGGCAGGCAGATTCTTTTTTTTTTCTTTTTGGCGGTACGCGGGCCTCTCCCGTTGCGGAGCACAGGCTCTAGGCACGCAGGCTT